CAAGCTCACCTGATGATGGGGTAGGGCCCCGAAACCGGTAGTGAGAGCAGGTTGATCCACATTATGTCGAACACAGCGTGGAATTAATTTCTATATTAGCAGTTCAAGGCAAGAAACTCTTATATAATAAATAAATATAGAGTATATCGTCCTATTGCTGCCAAAAGTCACTAACTAACATTTTTCCGAACAACCAAATTCAATCACTAACTATGTTTTGAAGCGGAGAATCGATTGCAAAAGTCATTAACTACGATTTCTGGCTATTTATGTTTTATTTTAATACCGAATAGTTACTAACTATAACATCTTTATGCAATGCAATCCATCTTTAGACGCATTTTCTCGGAAGTAATAAAAAGTAAGTTAGTGACTTTTGGCAGCAATGGGACGTATTATAATTTTAGAAAGCTCATAACAAGGCAAATAAAATAAAAAAATAATATATAGAGTATCCTGTTAAAAAAAACGAACATAAGTTTGAGTCATTTTTCGAAATAGACAGCTCCCAACGAAGAACTAGTTTCGTCACTGCATTCTACCTGAAAAATGAGACACGGGCGGTGGGTAAGTACTCAATGGGTAGAACAAAACAAAATCAGGGTATCCGGTATATACCTGTACATTTAGATGAACAGTCTAATTTTATAAAAGGTATTTTCAACGACCGCATAGTAAATACCCGGTATAATACCAGTAATATCAAGAATACGAGTATATCTACAATATTCCTTACATATATATATTGGTATATTTCTATTCCCGATATTATACCGGGTATTTATTATGCGGTCGTCGGAAACTCATTTTATTAAAATTAGGATGTTCATCTAAATCTACCGGTAGGTATATACATATATACCCAGATTTTATTTATCTACAAATTGGGTACTTACCCACCGCCCATCACTGATCCTTTTAACCTTTTCGATAAGTTATAAGATAATCGAGATACAAAGGTTATCGAAAAATGCAAACATTTCTACTCATTAAAAAATAAAAAGTAAAAGAAAGAAATAAGAAATAACTTTGAACTAAGAAGGCTAGGATAAATCTGTGTGGCATATTTAGTTTCATAATAAGTAGAACAATGATGTGAAAACGGCAACTTTATATCTCTACTCATAAACCAGAAACCCCATAAAACACACAAAAATGGGACATCCTGTACATCTAGCAATCGCCAGTCGATATAAAAATAATTCACACACAGTAGTCTAAAAAATGGAAGAAAAAGACAATAATGTCTTCATATTTGTGAAAAAATACATGTCCATATTTATGTAATCGTAGCGACAAAAATAAAAAAATAGAAATAGTGGGCATGATGCCTTTACAAAAATATCTGAAGATATGTTTTAAAAACATAGTTTCGATATAAATTACATAATAAACTTCAATCTATTATTGACTCGCCTTGTACATTCATACTGATATACCTAGGGTTCCCAACCGTCCCGGTTTAACCGGGATTAAGCAGGAGTCAGAAAGTTTGTCCAGGCGAAAATTTTGCCTTGGCCGGGACCAAAAAAATCACATTTACATATAATATATTTGAATTTCTAATATTTAATGTTTTTTTTTTCAATTATTTAAAAACTTAAAAATAATTGTCCTGGAATCGCCGATGCTCAAGTTGGTTGTGATATACCCTGTACATGATACTGAAATATTCGGATTTATTAAAAAATATAATATATTATTAAAATTTAATTTTTATTTTTGACGCGACAAAGAATTGCAGTTTTATAAAATAAAAATTATGGGCCTTTCGGATGTTTTAAAAAATTTAGAGGTTACTAGATATTTCGTAAACATGTAGCTGCTGTATTAAAAATATTTTGTGGTGTTTTGTTGCATAATCGACTAATTTCCAAGCATCGAATGGACGAAGGAAGGAAGCGAAGGGACGAAGTGAAGTGAGGAAGTAACGCGAGGAAGGGACGAAGGAGTGAAGTGTGAGTATGGGGCTTAACGAAATTTTTAAAGGTACATAAATATAATTTTAGAAGATATTCATAAAACATTTATTCACTAGTTGATTAAAAAAAGTATACCATGAATATTGAAAATTATATTTTATCTTTTCATATTCACCTATGTCTATTTAATTTTTTGATTATGTAACGAGGACTTATGTAACTGTTTATTACTAAATAATACATTTTATATCTTGTTTATGAAAATAAGTACAGAGTAATAAAAAAGGCAAATATAAAAATGTACTATACAGCTAAGGTATCACATTTAAAAAAAAAGATAAGTTTGGGTCATATTTCAAGAATGGAAGCTAACAGCAAAAATCTACCTAGTTACGCCAATGAATTCTACGTGAAAAGCATCTGTGTGTAGCATCTCTAAATTCATAAAAAAAGTGGTATGAAAACCGCATCTTTCTATCTCTACTCATAAACGAGAAACCCTGTAAAACACACGTAAATGGGACACCCTGTACACATCAATACACCTACCTGAAAAATTGTGAGAACATATTGCATCCTTTTTACAACTGAAGGGTCCTTTTTTCCACCAACTTTTAAGTGCCATTAAACCATGGCCTCTTACTGGCAACAATGGATCACAAATATCCTCAACTACAACATCTAAGGTGCTTTTTTTTTCTCCATTATCTATATTCCTGGATTTTGATTTATCGATCTTTAAATTATTTAGAATTTGCTCGATCAGAGTTCTTAATTCAGAATGCTTTGTTTCATTTGAAATTGTCTGAAGAGGTTCAATTAAATCGTCAAACATTTTGTTAATTTTGGAAGTATTTCCAATTAATGCATTCAACACCAAAATAACTGTAAAAGGGTTTGAAATTCGTCACACTCAAATTTAGAACTTTATGTACACCAGTTTCTTTGAGACTTTTCTAGAATTTGCCTAATAAACACAATAATTTCTTGAGGTGACTCCACTATAAGCTTTTGAATATCTTTGTCTTCTGCTAGTGTTGATAATAATTTATATACACTCAAGTATCGTTCAAATACTCATTCATTATTTCATTTTCCAAAGTTAATAGTCTGTCATCGCTTCTTTGAAAATATTTTTTGTTTATTATTAAGACAATTTAATAAATATATGAATAGTTTTTTTTAACAAATCTTTCCTACTTTCTAATAAATTTACAACTACCTCACAATTTTACATACTGAGTATACTACAGAGTGTTCTGCGTGTTTACAACAATTTCATTTGTTTCTATAAATAATTCTATATCATTTCTGAATGATAAAATTTGTTGAGGAGCATTAATACCATAAATTAAACTATCAAATACAACAATATCATTATTATTACTTTCAAGATATTTTGTATTAATAACCTAGTTTCTTTATGAGTTATCTTAAAATACTACTTACTGTTAAAGCAAATATCCTGAATATCACACTTAAAACTGGTTTTATTATTTCTATAGGAAGACAAGCATAATCGACAGTATTTTCCACAAAAAATTCCAAATAAAAGTCTAATAGTTTTCTTAAGTTTCTCCGTACAAGCTACATTTTCAAATTTGAATTTTTACATGTAAAAAATAACAACTCACTGATTACTTTTCTCAAAAAAACATCCTTCCCAATTTCGTGACATTCAAAAATAAAATCGTTTAGTACAAATTATAAACAATCTTTCAAGAATCAAACTGTCTTCGGTAGTTTTATCTAAAAGACCAAGAATCTGTTTGCATATGTTGTCTTTCTTTTAAAATTTGGTAATGATTTACAACTTGAAAGAAGCTTTCGATATAAAATATCTAATGCTTTCCATGATTTAGTTTGATCATTACCAAAATTTAACAGCATTGCAACTGCAACAGATTCAACTCCATTCGGTGAAAATAGGATATTTGTTAGTGTTTGAGAAACAGCTTTTTTAAACCATGGTGGTGACTTTTTTTTGAAAAATTATCATAGTTTCTTTAACATAAATATTCGGATGAATATGTTCCTTTAATTGCTGTAGTATTTTCAGTGTCATTTGTTTTTCATTTATAAGTCTATTATAAATATCTTGGGTACTTAGTTCTTTCTTTATAGGACAAAAAGCAATTTGATAAAGACCAGATAATAAAACCCCTAAACAATTGGTAAGTATAATAACTCAAGACTTTCACTTTTTAAAAAGTTTGTCAGAGCTAAAATAGTACATTTTAAAATGTTATACTGATAAAATATATCGTCAGTTACTGTATAAGTTTCATTAACAGCAAAAAGGCAAATTCGGTAACAATTTTGTAGATATGCCAATTTTAACTAAAGACACTACGCATTTCTTTATTTTAGCAATTTCTTTTACACTAAGTAATTCGGTATGCTTTTGAATCTTGTAAGGTAATTGTAATTTGTCTTAAAACATAAAAATTTCCTAACAAGTATGTCCATTCTGTAATTGCAGAATTCGAGAAATAATGTTTTGTAATATTTTCTAAACTTGATGAAATTTGGTCATAATCGCAATCTAACTCTGTACACATATTTGTGTATTTTTTTTCTCCAAATATTACTGAGGAATTTTCAAAAGTTCTCCTCTAGAAACACAAAATATAAAATTGTTTGATTAGAATTAAATTTTTTAAATCAACTACTATCCTACCTGGTAATGTTGATACTTCTAAATTGGATAGTAATGTTATTAGTTCAGTTTTATTCATTTTTCCTTAGTTCTTTGTTCATAAAATTAAACAGAAATAAAGTTAAATAATCTCAGGTTTCTTAGTTAATCTCATGTCAAACTTTTATCCATTTTTCTAGGTTAAAATAAATAAAAAATTTTTGGTTGCCAAAACCACAGACCAAAAAGTTCAAACGGAATTATATATGATCTCAATTTAGAATTTTAGATCTTTTCAATTTTTTATATAACATATTTCTGCGATAATTCAAATAAAATAGCAAATTTTCTGGTGTACCAATTTTCTATAAATAGTTTAAACTATGGGCTTAAACTACAAAGCCATTAAAGCTTTTAACGTTTTATTCTTCTCTATGACCCTATGACCACAGGCATAGACCACAGATACCAAACAGGTTATGACATATGACACCACAAGAAAGAATAGAAATTCTAAAATTCTAGCAATATAATTTTCAGTATATATATTCTGTGATATATTCTTTATCTATTAATCTAATCATGATCTGATCAATCCAATCAATCTAATTTACACCGTGTACACTCCATAATCTAATTTAATAACACCTATTCTCTGAATAACATGTTGATCAAAATAACGGTAACACCTTCAATAAGTGTCTAAAGTAGCCCTATTTTTAAGTGTGTTTTTGGTATTTTAGTGCTTTTTTGAACCACAAGAAGTTGAAATTGATATAGAGCCAACTGATAAAGTTGAACGAATGAAAGAACTAGCTGCAGAAAAAGTAGACTTTCCTGTAGAAGATATATTGCTAATTTGGTCACATAAGTATATGTATGCAATGAAGATTACTATTATTTTTGACAGTACACTTTGTTGGTCTCTGATATGCTTATTTTTAGGGAGGATGGGAAAACTGCTAAATATTACAAACTCCAAGAAGGATCGAAAGTTCACCTCGTCCTCAGGCAATTTGAGAACAGTTTCATATATAAAGAAGCTCCAACAAAGGCTCCAACCAAAAAATATACCAAGGGCAGGGCCAAAGGCCCGAGGTCCGAATATAATCTAAGGTCGAAAGCTTCAAAAAGAGTAACATCTCAAAAATGAACTGTGTTACATAGGTGCGTTGATGAGGACCAAAAGCAGTGGCATGCTTTTAATGAAATTGCATACAAGCAAATTGAAAAACATACAGCAATTTGAAATTGCTGTATCATCTCATACACATTACACTTACCTATATGATAAATAGATTTATTTTCATTTTCAGTATTTAAAAAAGCTCCGAATAAGATTTTCTGTTGGTTTTTTCTTTCATGTTAAATGACAAAAATTATGCTTGTTAGGGATATAAATTTAAGAATACTATAAATATCATTTTGTCATATTATCACATCATCTACTCTCATTTTCTTATTTAAAATTATATTGAGAAACATTATCGATCGTCGTGCCAATGCCAACTTGACGCCGTTTTTTTCGATCATGTGGTACATGGTATTCCATTTGGTATATGGTATTCCATTTAGTATAATCGAAAATATACATCTACTTTTCACTGCCACAATATGTATTATAGTTATATATGTGGAATAATATACAGGGTCTGCCAATAGTGCGTCGGGCATCTGCAAAACTGTTCTTGGGGCATCTGTAGCTCCTAACATAAAAAACTTATGAATTTTGTTTAACCCGCAACTGGCGTAGTGGATCTTTGTACCGACGGACCCCATTTATTTTTCAGATAAAAATACATGATGAAAAGATTTTATAAAACGCTTGTTATTTTAACACTGTTTACAATATATTCAAACTTGTCAACAAACAATTTCATTAATTTTCAACAAATTAATAAGAACGAACACAAAAATAAAGTAAAACGCATTTTTTAGTAATTTTTGACAACAAAAATATAACTTGGCTAAGAAACTAAAAATATAGAAATTAAAAACATATATTTTATGATTTTACTGTATTATTAAAAGTACAAACTACTGAAATGTGAAGCTAAAGTAATAAACATACATTTTTTTCAACAAAACTGCAAACCTTGAATGTACATAACTTTTTCTAATACAGTTCATGCTAATATAGGATCTGCATTTGCCGCACATGGATCGTGCACATTTGATTCATGAGATTTTTGTTTTTTGTCATTTCTTCGATGACATATACCACATCTTTCTTTTCTGGAATTGATTATTCAATTTTCTCTCTTCTATAAGTAAGAGATATTCAGAATCGGAGTTATGGTTACTCTTCGGAGAAAGATCTATGTCTCGATGTGATCTTCATCTCACTTAAGCCTCTTAAGTTCATCAAACCACTCAATTAATGCTTCCTCAAAATTAGTGTCCCAGTGAAGCACACTTTTTAGCTACCTACCATCCTAATAATGAAACATTCTTGGCGTGGTGGTGCCACACAGACCCCAATGAAACTTTAGCCCCCGCTGGTCCCCCCAATCTCAGTTGGAACAGTACACTTAGAAACAGTGGAAGATAATAAAAAATGGCAATTTTTTTCATTTAGGGGTTTATCTAATAGTGGAGTGCTTTAAGCCCTTATGAGATACAAACCTCGGAATTCATTTACTGTAAACGAATTTTTATAAAACTTTTTTCATTGTATTGTTAATAAGATATATTGCAAAGTTTACCTATTTAAATTCGTTGCTTTCACTTTAGTACCTATTTAAATAAACATACACAAATACAAATGCATACATACAAGATGGCTCCGTTTTCCGGAAAAGCTCTGTATCAGGATTCCTATTTGAGATGTTCACCCCAAACCTTTTACAAAATATATGTTTAATAGTAGTTCACCTTTCAAAAATATTTTTATAGATATACAGGGTGAGTCAAATATATATCATTTATTTATTCGAGTTTAGTGAATTTGCTATAAAATTCTGGTTCCAAAAATACCTTAATACCATATAGTATATTAAATGGTCTTTGAATTATGATCACGTCCATGAGGACGTCAATATAGACGTCCAGGAACCTTCGTATGAGAACTTCTAATCGAGACGATCGACTTATTGTAAGTTTATCGCTAAGAAACCGCCGTTTGTCAGCTTTTCAAATTGATCATGAATTGCACTTAAGAACCGTACATATTAACTAACAGACTACAAGAAGAAGATTAAATGAAGCAAATCTTATGTCAAGAAGGCCTGCTTCGGGACCAGAACTTACTAGATGTGTTGACTAGGCCCAAAAGCAAAGGCATGGTCTTAATGTAAAAATTATGAAAAATGTTAGTGCCTTCTTTAAAACAGAATATTTCCAACAAAAATAAAGCTAATGAGATGAACCAAAAAACAAACCATCGAGAAAGGATGTATCTAGATGATAAAATAATTTTTAAATTTCTTGCTGTGTTAACATATTTCACAGCCATCAAAAGAAATATCAACATTTTGTTTCCCTCGTATAACAGATGGGGAGTTTCATTTTAATTTAGAAAAATACTAAGAAGTCAAATAATTTGGCAACAAAACTGCTTAAAAATTATCAAAATCGGCCCATTGAATAAAATACTCTTTTTTTTTTTTTTTTTTTTTTTTTTAAATTTTTAAGGTGGCCATTTTTCGTACCGGTGAATGTAGGTTTCAAAAGGCTTATACGTTTTAGTCATATACTTTTGTAATGAAACAAACCTTTATTTTTACTAAGTCAAAATCAATTAATATATAGGGTGTTCCATTACAAAACTCACAACATTGATGTGTAACTTTTTTTGGGAACGCCCTGTAGAACTCTACATAATTTTTAGAAAATACTTTAAATTGACTTACATGGGCTCAAAATCTTTCCTTTATTACAAACTTTTGTTCCTTTAAAAGAAACCACTTGTCGTATATGACGCTCCACCCTGTATAATTCGATTTCAATCAAAATTTCAATGATTAGAATATAAGCAAGAATAGGTATAGCTTATTCAGTAGATTTATTTATTTCAATGGGAGATTTACTTAGAAAGATTAAAAAATCAAAATAGAATGGAAATAATTGGAATTTTTAAAATAAAAATTAAAAGAAAGCAAACGAAAAATGGGTAAACATTTTGGTATTTTATCTATAAAACTACAATACAGAGGGGTTTCGCATTAATGCATTGACGTGAAAGGGTGAATTCCGAGGTAAAGGTCTCTGGGCACTCCACTATAAAAATCCCAGGGGAACATCTACTGGTTGTATGAATTTTTTTAATTTACTTGAAATATCTTCTCACATTATTCAATTTATTCTATATATTCTTCTCTGGTTTCAGCTTTGTTTTTTTTTTAATTTAAAAAATTTTTAAAATTTAATTACAAATGTATTAAAAGGTACAGCTTTTTAGCCGACCATACCAAAAAAGTTTTTTTTAAATACCACACTAATTTTTTCATTATCTAATTCTAAATCTCAGTGTTTGTGGCTATGTAGATTTTTATTTTTAGCCACTTGAGCAGTACGTGGCGGG